TATATATGTATATATATATATAATATATATATACAGAGAGAGAGAGAGAGAGAGAGAGAGAGAGAGAGAGAGAGAGAGAGAGAGAGAGAGAGAGAGAGAGAGAGAGAGAGAGAGAGAGAGAGAGAAAGAGAGAGAGAGAGAGACATATACATATACACACACAGGGAATCACCTTCACAAACAAATGTCCACACATTCACTCAGAGACGCGTGCATATAGGCATGTATGTCCTCGCACACATACTAATGATATTATATTGAAACTCACAGCCACATAATGAATACCATTCAGCAAATAAACAAAAATTTGAAAACACATTCAAGCGGCCCTCAGTCCTCCAAAAAGACACACACACACACAAACACACACACACACTCGCGCGCACACACACTCATAAACATACACAAGCAAGCACACACATGCATACATATCATATTAATACACATGCACAAACAGACACAGATGCAAATATACACACATACAGAGAGAGAGGGAAAGATAGACAGATAGATGGATAGAGAGAGTGTGTGGGTGAGAGGGAGAGAGAGAGAGAGAGAGAGAGAGAGAGAGAGAGAGAGAGAGAGAGAGAGAGAGACAGACAGACAGACAGACAGACAGACAGACAGACAGACAGACAGACAGACATATAGAGAGAGTTAGAGAGAGAGAGAGAAAGAGAGAGAGAGAGAGAGAGAGAGAGAGAGAGAGAGAGAGAGAGAGAGAGAGAGAGAGAGAGAGGGGGGGGAGACGCGTGCAAATCATGTGCATAAACATTTCGGGCTATAGAGACATGTGCAGAATTCGAATATTCTTCAGGGGAAAGGAGGGCGGGGTTGGGCCTCTCGTGGTCGAGAGGTTAAGGTGTTTGCCGTCCTGGGTTCGAAATCTGACAAAGACTGAAAAGTTTCATCTCTAAAATATTCTCCTTTCACCTCCTTTCCTGCTCTTTAACCATGATCTTCCGTCTGCTTTCGTTTCTACTTTCTGCAAAATTCAAAATTAATTCCTACTCAACTGAAAATGCTGAATGTGTCCCGAGACCTCATATGACCTTATGTGAGAGCGTAAACCACATACCAAGTAAATAATATTCGTGTAAGCTCACAGTCGTATCAACATTCACTCACTCTCACAAACACATGCAAACCCATACACAGGCACAGACGAGTATGCATACCCATACACAAACTAACACATGCAATCATAATGTTATATAAAAAATCTCATGCACATATTATTGTATACATTAAATTCACAGTTATAAAAACTCATTCTCCTTTCACCTCCTTTCCTGCTCTCTAATCTTGTTCTGTCATCTGCTTTCATATCCACTTTCTGACCCTCCCCATTTCCTCCTCCTGGTTCTTTCTACTGCTACTCATGACCTCTTCTACTGCTGTCTTTCATCTTTACCTCTGATCTTAGGATAGTAGGATCAAATATTTAGTCTTCTCGGATAAGGGCGAAAAAAAATCTTTGAAATGCCGTGTGCACCTTGCGCACGCTTCAGATCCTTTGGTGGTTCTAAAATCGACAAGAGTAGGCTTCGGCCTTCACCCTGGCAAAATTCAAAATTAATTTCTGCCAATCAAAAAAGAAAATAATACTGAATAAACGCCACGAGCTTGTATTACCTTACGCAGTTGCGAACGCTGCAAAATACTCACCCCCCCCCCCCTAAAAAAAACCCACAAAAGAAAAAAACCGAACAAAAACAAAACAAAACAGATACACAAACACACACACTCACACTCACACACTCTCTCACACACACACACACACACACACACACACACACACACACACATACACAATGCCAAACGGAGGCATTAAGGAAGATAACAGCGTTTCTTTTAGGTCGCTTTACATGTTTTTCTTCTGGGAAATACAGCACCCTCCTATGCTTCCCCCCTACACTATTTCCATCCAACTCTACAACCTCCCACCCGGTAAATTCTTAATAAATTAGAACAGCATGTTTAATCTAGCCATAATGTAAGTGCTCATAATCTCAGATTGTGTTCTCCAGCCCCTTTGTAACTGAGTAGAGATTGTGTTCAGTTTTCTCCCTATTCTTGCTCTTTTATCTTGATTATCGTATTTAATAACGAGATCCATACCAGGCTCTTGTGTAGCCAAGCCATTATTCTAGGAGCAGATACAATTAATGTGGGAATGTTACCTTGGGTTTTTATCTCCTCATCTTTAAAGTAATAAAGTTTTGAGTCACCACTCGCTGGAGAGGACTAGGATATCAATAGCGCAGTATAGTTATACTGAGATGTCGTCATGCAGCAGTACTAGTCCACACAATCCGTTTTAAGCAAAACAACATTTGAAAATGATTTCTTTTTTTTTCTATCGCCAAAGACAAAAATACCACACTCTGCTGCATTCGCTCTTTTGCTAGATTTTGTCTTAAACGTTAGATGCATGCTATATAAATCACGCTGTATAAAAATTATATATATATATATATATAT